TGCGTATTTAGCCACTGAGCAACTAGCAGTCTTTTGCTACATATGTAGTCCAACGTTTTCCCCATTATAAAATTAAAACTTACTTTTGGGAACAACCCGGTCTTAGTGTACATGCTCTGCTTGAGGAGCACAAAACAGAGGCCATTTTACATAGTAGTTGTAATCAACAAGAAAGCGACAATTCTAACACTCAGATAAAAAACACCAGCTCTTGTAAAACTCGGCGTGATAATAGCTTTAGCTGAACAATCCGATATATTTGCATATCATTTGTGACGGACCGGTTACTCTTTGGATACTTTAAAAGTCGCATTATGTAAACTGGCTATGGAGTTGTAATCATTGTGGGAGGTCCTGGAGCTAACGTTCTACGAACTTCGGTTGAATATACAAAACAAGTTTTTGATTAACGGATTTCATATGCTCAGTTGTGTAAACTATATGAACTTGACAATCTGTGTGGGCTGTAGTCTTATGATTGAGGCAAGTAACAAGCTGGTGACTAAAGTTTCCAGTGTAATACCCTGTTTTGCGGATTGCGTTACCACCTTCCATTTGGATAAACTTAAGATATTATGGTCTGAAAACTTTATCACATAAGTTTGAATTTACGGAAAAGCTCTGAGTTTCGATTGAGAAACGACCTGTAGGCTCGATCCATCATCACTTTCGCATTGTACGTTTCGAGAGAAGGTATGGTAGGTTAGATATGTAACTTATGTGAATGAGAGATAGCATTTGTACTCCAGGTCTTAAGAAACGTTTTTTAGTGCCATTTTGTTCAGCCTAATTCGTCCTTCTACAACATCTCTCCAGCGTGTGGTACATGCACTTAAAAAACGGTGACTGGATGGTTTTACCAACGAAGTATTCAGTGTTCACTCAACTCCGAGCCAATCAAAATCCCAGATGTGACACCAGCTTCTGGTGACAGACAGAGAAATCAATATCGTATCCTCAGTGTGCTCAAATTGCAGCAAACCAGAATAGCTATTTCTTCATTGATTCTGACTGTGAGAATTCAGACTTCAATTCTGTTGAAAAAGTACTCACGAGATTCCTTATGAAATCGATTAGTCTTGAAATCAACGGCGGCTAATCTCAACCGGTTTGAGGAATTCCTCGTAGGTCGCGGACAAAGAGTGAAAACCAAATGGAAGTTTCCTCCTGGACCACAGCAAGTAGTACGGTGCCACAAGGCAAATCTCTCGAGCTCCCATTATTCATCATTGAGTTACCTGTGCTCATCGGACACCCTGTGATACAATTAGCGGAATCTCCGGAGAGGAATGCTCAAACATGGTAATCTGACACACAAGCGTCAGCTCATACGAACCCACATCAGTTCAGGCGTATATGGATCTAGGTGTCATTGTAATTCAAGGCCTAAAACCAGCAGGAAACTGTTGCGTGGTGTCAGCTCATAGTTTCAGACCTATATTATCAGTACGCAGAGCATCTGCTAGAATTACTAGTCATATGTTCACTTCATTACATGCATCTCAGATGAGGTCAAAACTGGAAAATTGAACCTAGTCAGCTAGTCCTTGTCTGGGGGAGGGCTTTCACAACCTAGAAAGGCTTCAGGAAGGGGCAAGACTTATGCTTCTTGGCGTAATTAGTTTTCCAGTGACGAAAGACTGAACAGTTGAATCTCTTTCAGGCTTCATATTAAAGGTGGAAAGGAGATGTTATCATATTTAAAACTGCTTTCTCACCAGTTTCGAAGACCTCAAACATAGTAGGAGAATTCAGAAGTCAAGGAGGAAATATGTCGCTGTGGAGTACTGGTTCCCACACTGAGTCACAAATTCCTGGGACCGGCTCCCAAAATAAGTCGTGTCAACACCCTCAGTTGACATATTAAGGAAGATTTTGGACAAAAAGAAATCAATTATAGAAGAATAAACATGTTCTTCAAGCCTGCTACAGAAACTTCAGCACGATGTATCTCCTTGAGACAAAAGAAAAAGTCTTTGTGGGGACATGGAATGTCCACACAATGTACGAGATTGGCAAAGCTGCCCAGATCGCAAACGAAATGAAAAGATACAAAATTCAAGTACAGGGGATATGTGAAAACAGATGGAACGGGAATGGACTCACCAAATTGTCAACGGGTGTGTCAGTGATATACTCCGGTCACCCAGAAGATAACCACATGCACACCGAGGGCGTGGCTATCATGATGTCACCAACGGCAACGGAGGCCCTGATGCAATGGGAGGCGATCTCTACCAGGATAACGACCACCAGATTCAACTCCAAAGGAGGGAAAGTGTCAATTATACAATGCTATGCACCGACCAACAACGCAGAACTCGAAAAGAAAGAAGAATTCTACAGACAACTGCAGACAACAATGGACAATACTCCAGCTGGTGACATCAAAATACTAATGGGAGACATGAACGCCAAACTGGGATCAGACAACATAGAAAGGGAACTCATCATGTGTAGAGCACTTGGAGAGATGAATGAAAATGGAGAACTCTTCGCTGACTTTTGCGCCTTCAATGAACTAGTGATTGGTGGCAGCGTATACAAGCACAATGATATCCACAAGGCTACATGGGTGTCACCAGATGGGTGAACCAAAAACCAAATTGACTTCATCTCAATCTCAAGGAAGTGGAGGCGCAGCCTGCTGGACACGAAAGTAAGAAGAGGAGCAGACGTTGTCTCAGACCACTACCTCGTGCAAGGGACAATCCAAATCAAATTAAAAGCTTTCAGAGAAACAGGGGCTGCAGATAGACCACAAGCCAAGTTCAACACTCAAAAACTGAAGGACCAGGACACAAAAGACATCTTCACTGCAAGCATAAAGGACAAAGCCGAGACACAAATCAACACTAGCGAAGAGGTCAGCGTCAAAAAGCACTGGAACAACTTGAAAACAGTGTGGAGTCAAACCTGCATGGAAATTCTAGGCAGAAAGAAGAGACAGGACAAACAGTGGCTCACTACGGACACTTGGAGACTGATAGATGAGAGAGGAATGTTGAAACAAAAGATTCTCCAGTGCACCGATGAGCAACAAAAACGGGATTTGAATGCAAACTACAAGACACTGAACAAAAGAGTAAAGAAGAGTGCCAGGGAAGGCAAAAGAAAGTACTATGAAACCATAGCAAGTGAAGCAGAACAAGCTGCAGGTAAAGGAGACCTCGCAACACTCTACCAAACTACTAGGTACCTATCGGGCAAACGTTTGACACAAATCAAGCCGGTGAAAGATGACAACGGAAAGTCCCTCACCAAAGAAGTGGAGCAAAGGAAACATTGGGCTGAACACTTCAAAAGACTCCTAAATCGACCACCACCTACAACGCGCCCAGCAATACCAACAACGGAGACAGAGCTACCAAACCCCCGACGAAATCAGAAGTCCTGAAGGCAATCAAGATGCTAAAAGCTGGAAAAGCAGCAGGACCAGATGGAATCCCAGCAGAAGCACTGTAAATGGACCCAGAGACAACAGCGGACTTGATGACGCCACTACTGGAGAAGGTGTGGAAAGAAGGTAAATTACTCGAGGATTGGAAGAAAGGATACTTATTTAAACTACCAAATAAAGGAGACTTAAGTCAATGCAAGAACTGGCGCGGAATTATGCTCCTGTCCATCCCAAGCAAAATACTAAGCCGCATCATCCTGGAGGGAATCAAACATGCCCTGGATGAAAAACTTCGACTGGAACAGGCTGGATTCAGGAGAAACAAGTCATGCATTGATCAGATCGCCACATTAAGGATCATCATTGAACAAAGCTTGGAGTGGCAGTCACCTCTCTATCTCAACTTCGTCGACTTTGAAAAGGCCTTCGACAGCGTCGATCGAGAGGTGCTTTGGCAACTACTTCGCTACTATGGGGTGCCACCGACAATTATACATCTCATTCAACAGCTGTACGACAATGCTGCATGCCAAGTAATCCACAATGGGAAACTTACGGAACCCTTCGAAGTGAGGACAGGAGTAAGACAAGGCTGCCTACTATCTCCAATGATTTTCTTGATTGCAGTAGACTGGATAATGCGACAAACATTGGGCAATGAGGAAACAGGCATAAAATGGACACACACAAAAAACTAGGAGGATCTGGACTTCGCCGATGATATATGTCTGATTTCCCACAAACTGGAAGATATGCAAGCGAAAAGCAACAAGTTGGTAGAAGAAGCATCCAGGGAAGATAGGACTTCAGGTGAACATAGAGAAAATAGAGGTGATGAAGATTCCTGGGCAACACCACCAACAGCAACAACAACAACAACTGACAACAATCAGCATAAATGGGAGGAACTTGAAAGAAACAACCTCCTTTACCTACCTGGGAAGCATCGTTTCAACTACAGGCCAACGGAACTGACGAGGATATCAAAGCAAGGATCGGAAAAGCAAGACAAGCTTTCACTACTCTCAAGTCTGTGTGGAGGTCAACAGCACTCAGCATCAAAAATAAGATCCGGATTTTCAACTCCAATGTGAAGTCAGTGCTACTATACGGATCAGAGACTTGGCCAGTGCGTCATAAAGAGCATCTCAAACAAACTACAGACCTTCATTAACAGTTGTCTTCGCTCAATACTCAAGATCAGATGGCCGGCCAGAAAAGATCAGCAACAGGGATCTTTGGGAACAAACCAACCAGGAACCGATTGTGAAACAAATAGGCAGGAGGAAATGGAGATGGATTGGACATACTCTTAGGAAACCATCAAGTGACATCACTAGACAAGCCATTGCTCGAGTGGAACCCGAAAGGGAAGCGGCGAGTTGGTCGTCAGTGCAAGGGTGACTTGGAGGAGGTCATGTGAAGAGGAGATGAAAACGTGTGGGCAGACTTGGAGCCAGGTGAAGACTCTAGCAGAGAACCGAACGCAATGGAGACGCACGGCTGAAGCCCTATGTTCCTGTAGGAATTAAAGGATACAACAATATAATAATCAAGCCTTCTATACTCAATCAATCAATCTGGATCTTTGAATGCATCACCACTGAATGTTTAGTAGAGTACATTGAAATCAAGGTTTTGGCGGGTCAACAATGACGGAAGTTATGCCCATATCTTTAGTCAATTTTAATGCTGATAATGGATATTTAGAGGGTCTTGCACGTGGGATAAAAGGTGGTCTTCTTAAGCAGGCAGATTACAATGTGTTGGTTCAGTGTGAAACACTAGATGGTTGGTTAGAGTTGTTAGTTTTAATGTAAATGCAACAGATCTGAAGCTTCACTTACATGACACAGACTACGGGGAATTTTTAGCCAATGAACCTGGACCCTTAACTGTTGGAATCATCGAGGAAAAAATTCGGGAGAAATTTGTGGCTGAATTTCGCCATATACGGAACCAAGCTGTGTACCCCTTATCCCTATTTTTGGACTACATCACCTACAGTTATATGATTGATAACATTGTGCTACTAATAACAGGAACATTACATGGAAGGCCAATATCCGAGTTGATGGCTAAATGTCATCCATTGGGCACATTTCTCGAAATGGAAACATTAAACATAGCCACAAATCCAGCCGAACTGTATAATGCAGTGCTTGTAGACACACCTTTAGGTAGGAAGTCTTGTGTTACCATTATATGTACAGCTCCTTTTTTCAGCGATTGCATATCGGAACAGGACCTAGATGAGTTAAATATTGAGATAATACGTAACACCCTATACAGAGTAAGCTGAACTCCTGCCTAATCTTTTTTCACAGGCATATATTGAAGACTTCTACAACTTTTGTAAATCTTTGGGTGGCATTACAGCAGAGGTGATGTGCGAATTATTAGCTTTCGAAGCTGATAGAAGAGCATTTATTATTACCATCAACTCCTTCGGGACAGAACTGTCAAATGAGGATCGGTCTAAACTGTATCCTCGTTGTGGCAAGCTTAACCCAGAGGGACTCGTTCAACTTGCTAAGGTGAACGATTACGAACAAGTTAAGGCAGTTGCACGGTATTATTCGGTAAGTATCCTTCTCTGCAATGGTTTTGCAATTCTGTATTTTCGAATTGGTTTCCTCACTTTAGATTTATCTTTGATAAAACTAAGCAGTTATTCTGAAGGCTTTTAGATTTTTGGAGTGAAATAAAATCAACTGTAATGCTGCATTCAAAAATGCTCTTAGGTATTTCTTTGGTGCATCCTCATTTACTAAATATTTACTAAAATTAGTGTAATTCTTTCATACTCCACGTCAGTCTTTATTGCCTTCAGATAGTAGCTGGGATTACTACACACTGCCACTAACAAATGACTTAGTAAAGGGAAATCTGTACAGTCTTTAACTTAATTTCAGGACGAGTAAGCCAGATCTTGTGGATCTTTCTTAAAATACAATGACTGCCGTACACTTCGCAATCCTTTTTCATTTTATTACAAACCTGGTTTCTTTGAATTATACCAAAATATGTTCATGCAAACATCCAATTAACAGCCAAGCATCGCCAGGGTACCTCTCGGTCGACAGAATCGAATGCCGCCTTTAGGTCAAGAAATCTAATGATTGTTGGACGCCGGTAAGAATACCTATGTTCCAGAATCTGTCGAAGGGTGAAGATGTGATCAATACACCCTCTTCCTTGTCTAAAGCCTGCCTGCCTGGTTCTCGTGTTTGTTCCTCCCATGGACCGCTTTGTCAAATTTCAAGTAGTGCAGTTGGGTAGTTAATGGAGGAGCTTCGCGAAAGTTTAGGAACTGAGTTGTGTATGTGTTAAACGAACTCTAAAGAAAACACATTTTAACTTCCCCTTTATATATTGGTATAGATGTTTTGTCAATGCCTATTCAACTTCCACTGTGTCAGCAGCCGGGAAGTGACAACCGCCCACACACTTCCAAAAGCACATAAAGCCTTCCTGAGCATCACCCTCCTTAACCCACATCACCTGCATCTAACTTACCTACTACCATCAGTACTATTCTTCAGGCTAGTGAGTAATCTTCACTTTACTTTATGACCACAAAGAACGAGGAGAGCCATAGAAACACTCCTGACAGCCTCTAAAGCCACATCGCCAACTTCATATAAGAGCATTTAACGTCAGGACCCTCTGCCAAATCGGACAACGGGCATCGCTAGCAAGAATTCTGGCATCTCAAGCCATGAATGTATGTTGTGTTCCGGAGACACGCATACAAGACCCGAGTGTGGTGATTCACTTAACCTCACCCGGCCAACAAGGTGAATCTGCAAAATTCACCTTGAGGGTGTCAGGAGACCCCTCAGCTAGTTCACGAGGACTCGCAGGTGTAGAGATACCATTGAGCGTTAGGGCTGAAAAATCACTTTTTGACTGGATCCCAGTAGAAAATCGTATGTGTGCGGTCCGTCTGAACAGGTCCGTTAAAAGAAGGAAGGACATCTTTACCTGTCGTTGTCATTTCATAGTCTTCGCTTACGCCCCAACCGGCTGCAGTTCGGATGAACTAAGGGATGATTACCTGAAACTGTCTAATTTCCTGCATAAAGCAAAACGTTCAGATATTGTTGTTCTAGCAGTCGACTTCAATGCCCAAGTAGGGAAGTTGTGTCAGACTGAGAAGTATGTAGGTGGTACGTATGGAGTTCCCTGCCGGCAAACCGACAACGGTGATCGTCTTCTACAGTTCTGTTGAGACAATCGTCTGTTCATAGTCTGCACTAACTTTATGCACATAGACATTGTGTAACCTGGCGACCTCCATCACCAAATCAACTTCGGACTCAGATAGACCACATAGCGATAAGATATCGTTGGCGAGGGTCAGTAGACGACTTCCGCTCCTTTTGGAACACGTGCGTAGACTTTGATCACGCCCTGGTTCGCACACGTTTATGCCTACCATTAAACGGACATAAAATTGTTGGCAGAGAAGCAGGTACGTCCCCAACTAGACCGAGACTCTGAGTCCGTATTTAGAGAAGAAATAGCGAAACGAGTACCTGAGGTCGACAGGAGGATTCCTCCTGAGGTAGCCTGGCACAAAATACAGTTAGCTGTAAAAGCTGTTAATAACCTGAAACCTAACGGTGAGATTACGCCGTCTCTGGCGTAGACGTGATATCTGGCTATCGGCTAAAGGACGTGTTTACTGCTCAGCAGTCCACTCCGTCCTCCTTTATGGTTTTGAGACCTGGCCACTGAAAGTGGAAGACATGAAAAGGCTAGCTGTCTTTGATCGTAGGTGCCTGCGTTCTATTCCCCGTGTGAAGTGGTGTAATAAGGTGAGCAATATTGAGGTTAGGCGTTGGATGCTAGGTAAGGAGGGAGGGGAAATCAGTAGACGACGCTGTGAAGTTACATCGACGGAGATGGTTAGGACATGTGTTACGTATGCCTAGTCATCGCCTTCCTCGACAATGGGCAGTGTTAGCTGATATAGGGTCAGGCTCGAAAAGAGCTGGCGGAGGGCAAACCACGAAGGAAGGTGTAGACTTCCTGGTTGTGGTCCTCAGGACGGTAAAAACCAATGGCTGGAGACAATCGCTAATATGGCTCAAAATCGTTCTCAATGGCTCAGATGCAAACATTCCTTGTGACCTATAATACCCAATAAAACTATATTGTTATTCGTTATTACTATTCCTTTTATCTCATATCCCTGTTTACTGTTTCTATTTTGCATTTCTTCTCCTTTCTTCTCTTGCTTTGTGTGTTAAGTGGAGTGTGGCGACTCTAACTGCTGCACATCGGTGCAAAGTTCTGTGTTGAAAACAGACAGACAGATGCCTTGTATTTTCTCTTATTTATGTTATCACTATTAGTTTCACCATTATTTTTATTTTGCTTTTGACCTTTTTTGATATTCCTAATGAATTTTATAGGATAGTTATTTAACACCAATGCCTCTTCTATCTGTTTCATTTCATCGTTTAGGTCTTTTTTGTGCTACTTAGTGCTATTACTTGGTTTGTTAGACACTTAACTAAGCCAGCCTTTACAGACAACGATTGAGATGAATTAAAGTCTAAATATCTATTAGAACGCGTTGGCTTTTTATAAACACTAATGTGCAGTTTACCTTCCATTCGTTTGATTTTACAATCTAACATAGCTAATTCTCCTTGTTGATTTTCCGATTCAAATGTAAATTGTATTCCCTTCACTGGTAAGTTTATATGCGTCAAGAAGCTAGAGATATGTTCTGTTTCTAACACTGTGTAAGTCTACACCCAACATATGTAACAGAAATGCAAATACCAGAGATATGGAAGATATTATTACCACCAGTCAAATCAGGGGAGAATAATAAATAATCTTGAAATTTTATTTCAATTCACGTACATTATAGCACTCTAACAAGTTACTTATTTTGACTATAAAAACATCTTATTTCCCATCTGATTGTACTTGATTGATAACACTAATATTATTTCTGAATGTACATGATTTTATATTGGTTTTTATGTAAATGTCTAATCAATTTCACTCATGTATATAAATGAAGTAAAAAGTTGTGTGAGTGACTTGATATGATGATGAGCAATAGTTTGTGCTCGAAACGTCATCAGTTAATATTACTGTATAAAACTGGGTGATTTATCAAAAATAAAATCTTATCTATAATGGAATTATACTCTACCACAGTGCCCAACTTTTATATTAGTTATTATTTATTATGGTCATCTTAATTGACATTTGGATTAAATGTGTTACGCATGTATGCCTATCGATTGCCTTCCTTGACGGGAAATGTTAGCTAACATAGGATCAATTTGGAAAAGAGCCAGTGGTGGTCAAACCAGAACATGGCTTCATCAGTCAAGGAAATCCACAACAGTTAGTTTAAGCCACGTTGAAACCAGTCAGTCAGTCAATGCCTATATTTCACTGCACTAAATCTTACAGTTGACATCAGCTAATTCAATTCCAGATTTCCTTATCTGTTAGGTACATCTTCATTGAATTTTCTCTTTTCTTTTTTTCTGTTCGTCAGAATTACGCACCATTGTTTGAAGAAACTGGTGAAGGTTTTGGAGACAAAACATTGGAAGATAAGTTCTTTGAATATGAGGTAGGGTCATCCATTTATCGTTATACTCTTTTTTGATTTGGTTTTTATGTATCTCAGCTGAAGATAAAAATTGCAATGACCATGTGTAACAACTTGGACCTTCCGAAACATAAAAATGAAATAAGTTGTTTTGTTAATTCTCCTACCCTTACATTCAGAACCTTGATGGTGTATACCATTCTATCCCCTGTCTACTTTAAAAATGTTGTTGTCGGGTTGTTTCAGTAGATTTTCGCGTTTGACCATAAATCATTCAGTATAATATTTTAAATATTTTAATCCTCAATCGAATTCGGGTAAGTGATAAAAGCTTGACTACGCATCTGACGTACTTCAAGTTTAAGTAACAGGACTGTTCAGTGGGTTTCTTTAGACATCAAAAAGTAGTACGTTGCAGTAAGGATTAAAACATTGTTTAATTTGTGGAAAATATTCCAAACAAAGCAATGAAAGTAGAATTACAACCGGTAAGTCTTAGGAGATTATGCACTTTGTTGCATCCGTAACTTAGTTTTAAGCTCCAAAAATATGGGTATTCATTGAAATGCTTACTAACAGATATGAGTTGTGTTCCGTGAAATGCATTTCGAGGGAAGAATAAAAAAGCTCCAACAAGTGCAATACACGGAGGAAGACATCTTTTGTAGGAGATATACATAATCTATTCCACTACTATGAGTGTAGAAAAGGAGAAATATGTTAATGGGTTACTAACTTTATAACCTTGTTAACATTTAAATGTTGAACATCAAACGGTGCAAATTAAATTATATTGTGATCAAATCCGGAAATATATTACTACTAATAGCTACTTCTATAATTTTGGTTTTAAAACCACATTGCTACTGTGCAATTCAGTCACCAACTGTGCGTGTGTTTGATTCATTTATAAGCAGGAAATTATACCGTGCTAAGTTTATTAAGTGCGTCAGTGGTACAGTGGTAGAATGCTAGCCAACCACGCAGGTGGTGCGCGGTTCGAACCCCTGCCAACGCATTCCTTTATCTCGCTAAGCCACTAATAAGAATGGTAAAGAGGGAAGGTTGGGTATAATCTAGCAACCTCATCTCGTAAAAAACACCACTGCTACTGAAACTTCAAAGCTATGTTGCACTGGGAACGTAAGGGAATAAAATTTAATTAATTAAAAATTAAGTTTTTTAAAGCATTTCGAATACATGTGTGCCATCTTAATAGTTAAATCTTCCTAAAATTTACTTATTTCTTTCACGTAAGCGAGATGAGTACCGTGAAACAATCATTGTAACTACCATACTTTTGAAATAATAAGGATTCAGTGTATGATTTTGATGTGGTTGCATGTCCTGTGAGCTGAGTGATTTAGCCGCAAACCTTTCATTGTCCTTCTGGACAAGCGCAAGCTTGAACATGAAATGAAGCTACTTGAATTTTCCATGGATGATATACTTGTATCTCCTGACAACCTTCATCGTAAATGGTTGTTAGTTTACATCAATATTGGTCGTTTGTATTGAAATGGAACTTAACTCTTTGTCATGTGACGTATTTTTAATTAGCTGATAAATTTGATCCGTAGTAATGTGTGCTACATTTCCACGTTGGATTATTCTTCCTCATCTTGTGAATAGGGTTTACTAGACTTGGAATTTTAAACCTCCTCGAATAGCTTTTATTTCTATTCCGTGTAAACTCTCTACGAATAACTACACGTCGTGAGTCCAGTTCATGGGTTTTGTTGTCATTTGAAGGAGGTCAAGTAATGAACGTATCCCTCTAGATTGAGTGAACTTTTTGTGAACCCTGCTCAAATGATGCCTAGAATGTCGATTCACCGTTGTATTTGACCAACTTGTTTGATCGTTATATTTCTGTGATTTATTCTGTTATAGGTGCAGCTAAATGTTGATGCTTTCTTACAACAATTCCACTATGGCATATTCTACGCCCTTCTTAAATTAAAAGAACAAGAAATGAGAAACATCGTTTGGATTGCTGAGTGTGTTTCACAACGTCATCGTACGAAGATTGACTCTTACATCAATATTATGTAGCTATCATTTTATTAGGATTTGATGTTATGTTTAAAAGTTTTTCCACGCCTAAAACAAATTCCAAGCATAATAACGTTTAACTTATCATTTCTATTATATCTGACTTTGAATTTACTTATATTTTAAACACTTGAAAATTATATTATTTTATCAATGATTATTGGAAAGTTTTACTCTTAATTTTAAAAGCTATAATTTTGTTTTCTGATAAAATTTTCAATTCGTTACTTCCATTCTTTTTTTAACAATTGATTACTTGTTATTATTATTACAGAATGTCAGTAAATTCCAAGATGATAACTGTCGTTTTTTGTTTCAACACAGCATACAATTCGCTCATTGTTTGGCGGAATTCACGTCCTTTATTATTAAATATTCGTCTTCATATTGTCCTTGAAAGTGTTCCGTGATATCGAAGCCTAGTAGTTAGAAAGGTTTCGGAATTCGGACTAGTGTCTACTGACTAGATTACCAGTATTATGATAGTATATCCGATGAATTATTTATTTTCGACCCAAAGTCAGTTTCATTTTGCATTAAAGTAGTTTTTCTTTAAGGCGTGATTCTATTTATTATAAATAAACTTCCTTATCAGATAAAGCATTTGTGCTGTTCAAGGCATCAAATATTGATGGTGCACATGCACGTTAGTAGGCACTCCTACATTTCGTTCTCGTAAGAAGTATTCAGGACGTGTGTATTAGTACTTCGAGTGGCCTGTGTTGATTCTCACAGTACGTATCTATGTAGTAGTACAGTTTCAGCTTAAAAGCCTTCACCGATACCATTAGTCATGAAGAAACCATATGTGATAAAGTAGTTTTTCTCTAAGGTGTGATTCTATTTTCAAGGTTTATTGGAAAAATAGTGTATATAAGGGATTGCTGCCTTCACATTAGAAGTTGTTTAATTCAAATGTTTAGGTGACACAACTGAAGCCCATCAGGTATTGTCTTTGAGTAATTAAAATGACTTGAAAAGACAAGTTTTTTTTGTTGAAGTAATCCTTTCATCCATGATCACTTATTCTTGTTATTCTGAGATAGTATAAATCCTTGCAGGATGAATTACATCTTTTTATTTATATAATCGAGTCTTTGGTGTATCCTGACGAGGATTAAGTAACTTGACATGCGGCTGTGAATCACTATTATTTTAGCCCCCTAGATTTTTAACCACTTGACCACGGTTTCGAATCTTTCTCAAACTACTGTTGTTTGGGCAGCCAGGTAAGTGTCAGTTACTTGCTCAGGTTCAGTTACCAGGCTGACCCACACTTATCATGTTTGCGGGTGAAGACGTGGCTCATTGGCCTAAGCACTCAACCTTCAGTCAGTGAGTAACAGGTTCAAATCCCACTACATCTGCTTCAGCTGGGTAACACCAGCGTTCAAACAATAAGTTCACAGCCTGAAGCGTGTAAGACCTGTTGAAAGCGACTGCGTTCAATGGAATCGCAAATGGTTGTTGAGTAGTATGATGATTAAATTAACAAAGAGTTTCTCTGTAGCCTATATTTCGTCGCAATTTCACTTAGTAATCCAATATTTCTGTTCACTTCAATCTTGTTTTAAAGGCCGTTCCGTGTTTTACAGTGATTCAGATTTACATGATTGGAATGTCCACCAGCGTAATTCCGTACTTTGTGGTATGAGAGCATTCAAGACTCATCGTAGAGTCCGCAAGTTAAATACAAGCTTTATAGTGTCACTTAGGTTACCATTCTTAAATGATTTATTTATCCGAAGTGGTGTTCATTATAAAATGCATGAAACACTCGTGGATATTGTCTCGGTCTTGTTTAAATGCCTTACCACTCTGTTCTGTGAAAATTAGTAAATATTCCACTGCTGTCCTTGAGTATGTTTGGCATGCTCTTCGTTCCTGTTTAGTATTAGGTGGCTTTGAAGGATTAGTCTTTACTGACTGGTAGTTTGAGAATAAGTTGGCCACAATGACCACTTCATTTGTTTACAAATTTTTATCAGTGTGGCATGTGCTACTGACAGAAGTTTGTGAGCAGCTTATTGGTGACGTCTTGTGAAGAATCTTGAGTATTGGATGGAGGGATTAAGTTACAAATGAAAGATCATTTTGAAACAATACCGAAAACATGGAAGAAAGACAAAAGATGCAGAAAATGAGTAGCTTTTTAAAACGGAAGTTTCAATGTTGGGTTCCTAAATTCTGCCATAATTGAACATCAGTTTGCAAAATTAAGAATACTACTAGCAGGTATTGTTTTATTCAGCTATTGCGATACAACAGATGAACAGGTAGTGTAGACGTAAATGTCCCTTTGGCATTTGCCAACTCGAAAACATCTTTGGCACAAGCAAAATCTCTGGTCACCGGTCATTAATCTTGTGCACTGTTCAATGAATATTCGTATTCTACTTGATGGCTGTGGGACAAACGCGATCGTTAGTTCAGTTAAGTTCCCAAGTATTTCCTTTAAATTTCGGTAATTCCTTTGTATTTAGAACAATTAACGGCTTCAGCACCTTTCTTTGTAGCATTCCCTGTTACTGATTTTCGAGGAGAAAGTTGTGGAGGTTTTATGTTACAGCTAGTCTCTTACTAACAAGGAACTTTTTCATTGAATAAAGTAGATTGCTAGTCATTGTGTGGTGCTTAGTCAAGTGCTTCACTAAAGTTAGTAGGGATATCATCAGGACAAATTTCTTCTAAAACTACTTTACACCCTGGACGACATATTGTTGCTTTCTCAGTTGAACATAATGACTTCCTCGACTATTCTATAAAGAATTAAAACCGTAGCACTGGTGAAAACATAATGACATATAGTTCTATAAAGTGTCTTTGTCTGTTGTGTTAGGACTGACTTTGTATCCTTCAGGTTATTAGGTGGTTTATTTCGCTTGCAGGATGATCTGAAAATAAATGGTAGTACGCCAGCTAGTTGAAATGTCAGTTCGTTTTTCAAACTCTTATAACGTTATTACAGTTCCGTTGGTTTTCCCGGATATGGAGTGTATAACCATGTGAATACAGCGCTATCTATATCGACGAAATCCGTGTTTGGCGTCATAACCTCTTAGGATGCTATATGGAAGCCATGCAGGATGTATTTAGTACCGTTGGGTTGCACCAAGGTAATTATTTGGAGCCCAGATGTACATCTTCCGAACCGCCAAGGTTGACGACAAGACTTCAACTACTTTTCTTTTGACTTTTTAAACAGTGGATACCACCACTTGTCAATGAAGAACTGTATTTTCGTTCCTTGGGAAAAATCTATTGGATGGATACTTTGGCTGTTTGAGGCGGTACCAGGATGCTTCAACCAGAATTTGCAGGTGTATGGACTGATCACCTGAAGAGCCTACAACGTCTTCTTTTTTGTAGAAACAGAAGGGTTTTCATGAAGTTTGTGTCATGAACTTGACTGAAAGCGAGATCAAATATTACAGAAGCATTCTGAGAATCGCAACTAGTACGTGGTGAAATGTGCTGATTTTAAGTGAGACATTTTTTATAATTCTGTCATCATTTAAAAAACACCGAAATATAATGTACATCTGTAGAAATCATCTACCGTCTTATCTCACAATGTAATCAAGTTGATATTCTTACCTCTGCAATTGGACTCGTCTGATTATTCAACTGAAACGCAAGTGTACCTATACATCATAGAGATAAGATGCAGTGACTACACCATCCCCTAAACTAATCCTTCTTTGGAGTTACAGCTAACTAGCAGTTCAGGATGAGTGTGGGAATTATTCGGTGTTCTCTACCCCTTTATATTCGGTTGTATACGTTTTACAACCATAGCAGCTATCATATAGTTTTGTATTACTATGTAGTGTGCACGGCTTATCATTTGCAACATTTAGCGATGCTAGCCAGTATTGTCAACGACTATCTTATCATCAGTTTAGCGCACCAAGTAAGTTATGGCTTTTATATGGAAGTAAATCTCCACAAATTTAGTTGCAGATTACATTGATGTTGAGATAACCTCTTCGAATCGTATTTTACCGATCCCAGATTCTATACTTCTCGTGATCGTGAAATGCTGAAGAGTTTTGTGGCTAGTTTCGGTTGTATATGAAATCTGCCTTGACTTAATTCAAATCACTAGGAGCAATAACCGAAGACTTAACGCTTTGCAAGTAGTCAGATGAAACTGAAAAAAAGTTACAGGTGTACAATGCTACTGATTTATAAACAACGCGGAAAAAGAGGACTTCTACTAAAAGCTGCAAACAGCAATGAAAAAGACCACAACCACATGAAGATACACAAGTTCAAATGTGTGAATTGGATACAAACCAAACATGTAATAGACAGAGCAAGACGTGAACATATTACGAGCCGGGGCCCATTTGGTCGAATTAATGAGATACGAAAACAAGTTCTCCCAATTCACGAAATTTTAATTCGGCACAGCATATAGGACAGGAAGCAAATTGACAAAAAGTCAGAAGAACAGCAAATACAATCACAAATAAATATCACACAGAAGATAACTTTAAAATTAAATCAAGGAGAGCCATGACAATAAAAATATACCAAACCCAAGAAAGAACCAACGCCTAAATTATTATCATGGGGAAGTAAGAGATACTAGGCGACATCAGCGAGAAGGCCAATGTGGCAGGACACAGGAACTCACTAAAGTCGGTGTGCTAAGAAACATGGATGAACTTTTTAGGCAGCAACAGAAATCGAGAGAAGGAATGACCAGTTAAGGGCACTTTGAAGCTGACAGAAGAGATAAAGACAGTGGGAGAGACAAACAACCAAAGGAGAAGCTGAGTTCAGCCTACAGAGAACCGATCAGATAAGTGAAGAAGAAAAAGAGTAATAAACGGGAAGACGAAAGATAAACTGAGAAGAAGCACAACAGGCAGCAGGTAAAAGAGAGACCTAGGAAGACTATAACAAATAATCATGTCTCTATCGAGGAAGAGATAAACGCAGATGAAACCCGTGGGGCATAATGAGGGAATCCCTATCGAACTAAGAAGACGATGTGACGAAAAAAACTAAAGAAACCTCCAATAGACTTCCATCTGAGACAAATCGATAAATATAACATAAAAAATAACTCCCAAAGAAGAAAAACAAACTCAAAAACATTAGACGCATCCATCCAAATACACCTCGAAAAAAAAAGGCAATGACACAATACCTAGAAAAAAGCGCAAAACACATATAGAGAGAAGAAAGCATAAGAAAATCGACAACAGTAAAAACATGAACAATACGAAGAAAAACAACAAAAAAATTAAAAAAAGCATACAGACAAAAGAAATATAAGTAAAGAGTCCATAATACAAATGAAGCGAAACAATAAGTCTCATCATCTTGCAGAGACTAAAGCATTCTCCGAATGCAAACCTCCGCCAACAGTAGACGGGGCATCAAACTGCTTCCGTAATGTCCACTGAAATGCTCCCACCTGGTCAAAAGGCAAACACCGAAACGACCAGAATTATAAATAAACTTCCTTATCAGATAAAGCATTTGTGCTGTTCAAGGCATCAAATATTGATGGTGCACATGCACGTTAGTAGGCACTCCTACATTTCGTTCTCGTAAGAAGTATTCAGGACGTGTGTATTAGTACT